CTATGTTTTAAAACAGTAAAACTGGAAGTGATGTGTGAAAAACTAAGTACACGCTTACTGCTTCCATAGGGATTGAGAGGCCGAGTTGCAGCCAGGTGCTGCTAATTAAATGCCCTTGATTAATTGATCAGCAAGTGTGACCACTTCTAGAAAAAACAAAGTTTCAACCGTTTGCTGGTCTGGAGCATTCAGGTGTGTTATAATATTTTTAAGGGCACGTTCACACCAGTTGCAGTGCGTTCCGGCCCGATTCTGGCTGGAATGCACTGCCTCGTATTGCAGCCGGCTCACTTTTTAGTGGGGCAGAATGGGGGCGTGTCAGCCGCACGGGATGACCAGGCACATTGAGCATGCGGTCCGGTGTGTTCAAAATAGTGCTTGCAGCATTTTGATCGCACCGGACCGCAGGCTCAATGTGCCTTGTCATCCTGTGCGGGCGATCGCATTGTGGCCGGAGGGTGTGGCTACAGTGCCATCCGCTTCAATGGCCCGCCACGCAAAAGTGAGCCGGCTGCAATGCGAGGCAGTGCATTCCGGCCAGAATCGGGCCGGAACGCACTGAGACTGGTGTGGATGGGTCCTAATACAATGCCGAGGAGGAAAGATCAATGATCATAGAGAAGCAATTGTTGCTGCCCATCAATCTTGGTTGTGAGGCCATTGAGGAAGATTATTCGCAAGTGGAAAACATTCTAAACAGTCTCAGCAAATTTACCACATGGTCAGGCTCCGACAAAGTACAAAAAATCTCTAACATTTAACATGCTAACTGAGGCCTTTAGAGTCGGAGTTAAAGTTCATGATGATACAATTGAAATGACTAAACACATACGGTTTGTTTTGAAGGGTTGCCAGGTGAGTTTTTTTTTTTTTTCCTTTTTCTGAAAAGAGCAGGGCAGCCTTCTAGAGTCAAATGTGAGGTCATCTGTCCAACAGCTAAAGCTTGGCTGGAATTGGGTCATGTAACAGGAAAATGATCACAAGCTCACCAGCAAATCTACAAAGAAAAGAATCAAGGTGTTACAATGGCCCAGTAAAAGTGCTGTCCTAAACCCGATTGAAATGCTGTTACCAAGACCTTAAAGTTGTGCATAAACAAATGTCTGCAAACCTAAATTAGGTGAATCAACTTTTTCTAAAGAGCGAGTCAAAATTCCTCCACAACAATGTAAGAGAAAACAATTACTTGAAGTTATTGCTGCTAAAGGTGGTTCTACAAGCTCTGGAATACTAAGGTGTACTTAGTTTTTCACACATGGTTTCTCCAGGTTGGTTTTGTTTGTAAAATAATGACCTGGTGTAATATAATTATAATAATAGTAATAATATAATGTGAGGTTGTATTTACCGAATTCTAAGATTTTTATTATGTCTTGACATAAAACCATAGAATTCAAAGAGAGCATATTTTTTTTTTGCACAACTGTTAAAATATTTGCAACAAACAAATATTTCCCATTGTAGGGGGCATTTGAAGTAAAAGTAAGCCTACACACATAAGTGATCAGGAATAGAAAAATTATCAGTTGTCATGGTGACTGAAAAAGAACCCTGGCTTTATGATGTCATTCCCTGAAATTTTTGTGTACGGACCTTCCCTTCAAATGATCAACTCTTTCCAAACTGCTGTCCTCTTTTGCACTGTCCTAAAGCTTTCAGTCACATAATATAGAGCACTGAGTATGCCAGGTCCTCTTCCCAGAGGCTCACAGAATGCTGCAGATTGTACTTTTGATCATACGTAGGTGTAAGCTCTTAAAGATTATTGCCTTGCATATCCATGGTAAGGCATGACGTGAACAACCCACATGTGGATGCTGTTTTTTTGCGAGGGGGAGGGGGTGGATGATGAGGGGTACACTACATGTGAGCTTTGTTTATGTGGCTGCAATGAGGTGGTGGGATTAGAAGGGGTTTAAATCGCTGCAATGGTGATGTGGTTAGAAATTTAATGTATACATGTTTGGGGTGGGGTGAATACATTTGGTGTATATACCCTATGTGTGTAGCGGAGGTGGGCTTATTTGGTTGCATCGGGCAGAAAGTTGGTGGTGGAGAGGCTGTATATTTTGTAGCTATCGTGTGGGAACTCCATGCATAATTACATAGGAAAATACTTTACAAGATAAATTGTCTTGTCTGTTGAAGTCTGGGTTTTTTTTTGTTTTTTAATTGGCCTGTGACCCTTTGCTAGCAAAGTGAAAATCACTTTACACTTTAAGTGCAACTGTTCCCAGACTGTAGACATTAAGGCCCCATTTACATGGGGCTTTAGGTTGCTGCTGGGAATTCCTGCGGGAAGAACCTATGGATTTTCACTGTAGGAATCCCAGGTGTCCATTCAGATGCAGTTGCTATGCCAGTTCAAGTTAATATACCGTCAGCAGACGCATCTGTCAGCATGTAATCGTACATGGAGTGATTACCTGTGGTTTGGGATAGAGGATTGTCCCCAGACGCAGACAGATTACTTTTTATAACTGCAAAACTTTGGCAGCCCTGTAATGTAAACACCTAGCATGTTCTAAGGCCTCAGTCCCATTGGTGCAGAGCACTGTACAGTGTGAAGAAAGTACATGCTTATACGATCAGGTGTCACAGGTATTTGTGTACATCCATGGTCAGCAGCCTGTACAAATCAATTACATTCTGACCGATTGTGCAGCTGTATGCACATCCAAGCATTTATATCCATACAGGTAGTCTTGAGCACCTGTATGAATATAAAGTCTGGCAGGCTATCATTGATTTGTACAGGCTAATCCCTGTGGCTGTACGTAAATGCCTATGGCTCATAGGTGCAGGAAGTTAAATTCATATTTTACAGCTCTCTGCCCCTTGTGAAGCGGGCCGTAGAAACTTCTGGGCATTTACATCCCGGGATTGCGCAGTCCTGTACAATGCAGGCAGCAATTGCCGCGCGGCCCCATTGATTTCAATGGGGTGACATCCGCACGGCAAATGCAGAAAAAGGTACAAGTACCTTTTTTTGCGATACATGACGTGTGGCTGTTTTAGCAGCGATCGTGTTTGGAAGCACGGGCAGAAATGCATTGGGAAACAATGCGATCCGCCCAGCGTGGCTGGGGTTACCATTAGAAAATAATGGCATCCCCAGCGCGATCGTTTCACGCCTTGGCGACTCATGACTGTGCGTTATCGTGCACGATTGCCACGCGGTGAGGTGTCGCCTAGGTATAAACCTAGCCTCAGGCTGCCAGAGTTTTGCTGCAACTCAATATAACGTGAAAAGGGCTAATATCAATAAAGGTTGGGTTGGTAGATGATCTAGGCACCACATCCCATTAAACATGAATCAAAAAACTATTTTATGGAAACTAAGTTTTTTTTAGGTGCCAACACATGTATAATCTGATTTTATTACATCACAACATAAATAACAAACACAAATTTAATAGCGGAAGTTCTCAAACCACCCCATGTAAAATGGGTACCTCTCTTAGCCACTGACTATTCATAGTCCTTATAATATTCAAGATCTATACATAGTTCAACTGCAAACAGTTACTTTTCACCCTCCACTGTCCTAGGGATGAGCTTTTTTTTATGTGGTACCAATAAACCCTAGATAATTTTTTTAAATATTTTATAATGTAATTTTATATTACCAAAATATTTTTCTTGTATTTAAAACTATCCATTGCTTAGAAGGTAGGTAGTAAGAAACTGCATATAAACATGGGGTAAGTGGATTTAAATTATTGCAGATTTTTTTTTGTGACCTGGAATGCTGCTGCTGATGTTACTCTAGCCTAAGCACAACCAGCACAAGCCAAGGACGTATATTTATTTTTTTTTTTTCTTCCCTACATTTTTTTCTAATCTTTAAACTTACTATTAATGATGGGTGGAAAGGTGCCCAGATATTTTTAGGCAGTCCATGTATTTTTTCTGTAAGGGGTACAGTTTTTTTTTTTTTTTTTTTTTTCTTTTGTTGCTTCTGTGTTGTATTGCTCTATAAGAATGCAGCTGTTTGCATGAGTGTCATGCAGCAATTTGTGAGACCCACTCAATCAGCCCAATTTGCAAGTGCAAATGCAGCTTAGAACCTTTGATTGTGCTTTTAGCTAAAATGTATGTATGACAAAAAAAAATATTTATACATACATAGTGTTTCCCCGAAAATAAGACGCTGTCTTATATTTTTTTTGCCTCAAACAAAACACACTAGGTCTTATTTTCGGGGTAGGTATTATTTTGATTTTTTTTTTTTTTTTTAATGTACAGCAATCCACAATTTTTCATGTAGAAAAATATGGTGATCAGGGGTGCCGTACCTTTCCAAAAGCAATTTGCTAACCAATCGCTGGCCAGAATAAGCGAAGCTCACTTTCACTATCGATTCCTCACAGGCGGAGTGCATTTGGTATCACTCTGCCTGTGACAGGCGCTATAGAGGAGGCATGGGCTTATGCGGCTCCGCTCCCTCCGGTGCCGCTAGTGGGGAAAGGGTAAACACCCAGTGTGAGTATTTTTTGCCAAGCATCCTGTTGGCGGGACTTTGCCTTTTCTTCCTGTCCTGAAGACTCAAAAGAAAGTAAGAGGGAATTTCTACACAGCAAGGGTATTTCCCCTTTTGGACACTTATGCTTTGAACAGGTATCCCATTGGAAAATGTCGCCTCTATTCCTGTTCAGTGACAAAGTATCCCCCCCCCCAATATTACTCATGTTGAGTTGTTACCATTTTCTGTTTTTTATTTTCCAGTGTGTGGAGAAGCCAGTGCTGCAGAAGAGGAAGAAGGGGAGGCAGGCTGGATTGAAGGAGCTGCTATCCTTCTATCTGTTGTATGTGTGGTGTTAGTAACAGCTTTTAATGACTGGAGTAAAGAGAAACAGTTCCGAGGGTTGCAGAACCGAATTGAACAAGAGCAGAAATTTACAGTTGTCCGTGGAGGGCAAGTTATCCAAATACCTGTGGCCGATATAGTTGTTGGAGACATTGCACAAATAAAATATGGTAATTTTGCATCATCATCAAAGCCATGGAAAATCTTACCAATTACTTGTACAGCTTTTGACGGATGTTCTCTGTTTTAGGTGATCTGTTGCCCGCTGATGGAGTACTTATTCAGGGAAATGATCTTAAAATTGATGAAAGTTCATTAACTGGAGAATCTGACCAGGTTAAGAAAAATCAGGAAAAAGACCCTCTACTGCTATCTGGTTGGTTTCCTTTGCCATTTGTTCAATAACGTGTTAATGCAAAAGTTCTGCTTTCACTTTGTCATTGGATGCTGCCTCTAGTCTTAAATGTAGCTGAGCAAAGCATGCTCTAGCTATGAGATCAGCAGCACACACATTGGCCTTTTGCTTGTGAGATCCCACAGCTAGCACACAAATTGGTCTTTGCCCAGTGAGATCCAACGCCCAGCACACACAATCGCCAATTTCCCTCCACAGACTCCACTGTGCAGTTTCCACTGCCCCACCACACAAACTGCATATTAACCAGTGTCTGTCCTTCCAAAAGACATAGGTCACTAAGCCCAGACAGTCTGGAGGTTCATTACTGAAAGTGAAGCTCAGCTAAGCAGCATCCTATGTAGTGTAATGCCTACTCCCCTGCAAAGTGAGAGTCTGCAGTGCAGAAATGTGTGCAGTTTGACACTCATTGATCACTCCTCCGTATCCTGCCCCCAGCACACACATCTCACTTTAACTGTATCCATGCCAGCATTGAGATGGCCCCTCTGCTACACGGAGTTCTCTAGCCACTTTTTTACACTAGTAGAGCGAGTCACCATATCGGTAAGCAATCTGCAGTGTTTGTTCGTTAGCTCCTCAGTGATAAGTCCGCCAGAATACATGTTAACCCTTTAATCCCTTATTTCCAGCCCATGTGCTCGAGTACCCAGGGAATGTGCATGGAACTCATCACATTTATTCAATACACCAAATAGTCTAATCTCCACTGACTTTTTGGTCCGATTTTAATCTCCACTTCGCTGCCCCATTTCCTGCTTAAACATTCCTCTGCAACAGAGCCCTACCGCATCCCCCCGTCCACATACACACATCACCACCACTGCCACCATCACCGTAAGCCTTCTCTGTAAATCCAGGTTTGTTTAGGATCACATCTTCTATGCTCCTGCTTTACTATTGATCAGTTATGAGATTGGGTCCAAATGTATTATTTGGCATACCTCCTGAACTGTTATTTCCCTCCGTGACTTTGGCCATATTTTTGCTTTTTATTTTTGTAGCTAGTTATGGACAGATCAGTAACCACCATTTCTGAGCCATAGGGTTAACTGTCCTGCCCACCATCCTACTCCCTGCACTTCCATCCTGCACCTATTGCCCCGGTCATCCTTTGCACTCTTCTCATACACATGCCTGCTGTCATACCCTCCAAACTCTTCTCCTTTACGTAGTTCCCCCACTGATGCTGCTAACACTCCTCTCCTGCACATACTGCCTGCTAAGACACTTTAGCATTGTTTGTAATATCCCCAACCTTGCCAGTTCTAGAGCACACACTTTTGATAATATATACGTAATATTTTGAGGCTATGGTTCTTTTACAAAAGTTTTGTTTTCATTGAATTTTAAAGAGTATATAGTTGACCAGTCCAGAGAGGAGATATAATAACATTGTGCAGACATATGCATACCATTATATTTAGTGGGTTGTATAGTTCAACATTTGAGAGTAGTATTGCTTAGGCGAGGGAGCAGGTGTAAGGTGGTTAGATTGACTTGGAAGGGCCACTTTATACTAAGTTGGGCTACGGGAGGTACACTGGAAGGGACATTAGGTGTTGCCCCATCAAAAAGGTGTGTAGGGCATTGGGGTTAGGTAAGGGTGGGAATTAGGGAAGGGAAGAATTTTAGGAGAGGGGTTGATATGGTGGGGGGTAAGGGGGGTAGGGAGTTGTCTATTCACATGGTTGGACAGAAGTTATTTGGGGGTAGTCAGCTGCATATAGGAATTTTTCATTTGTGTCCTTTAGGTTGGCTGTTAGTTTCTCATTGATATACTTTTCAGCTTTAGTCCTTTTTTTTTTTTTTTAAAGTTTGAGGAGGTGGTCTTCCAGGAGGCTATAGCTAAAATAATGAGACTTCATTTTTGTTTCCATATTCATGGAATTGTTTTTTGTTTTTTTTTACCTGTTTTTTTAAAGGCCGGTAAGCAAAATGCAAAATCAAATTTAAAAACTTTCTTAGGGCCTGTTCACATTTACAGCGGTGACTTGCATTTCCGCACTGAACCAATGTCAGTCACTGGTTGGGCACATCAAAAATAGTTTTCTATATGCCCTGTTCACATCACAATGTGGGTGTGATGCGTGGTGAGCTGTGGTAAATTGTGGACATACCTACTTTTTTACACTTCCCACTGGAGGTCACAGCACCGCAGTGTAATGTATGGGCTGCCAGGCAGACACAATGGTACTGTACACTAAAGTTAAGGGAAAAAAAACCAAGCCTTGTGTTCTAAAACGCAAGGCAACGTGGCTCTGCTGTCACCCAGCAATTACTAGCCATATGGTGATATTACCAAGGCAAGTGTTTACAAGCCCTCAAAGTAATCCTTTGCCTTGCCCATGCAGGGCAGAGGGGAACCGAGGAAAGGAAGCCTTGCAAATTCCAAGTTGCCCTAGCTGAAGTATACAGCTCTTATTGCATACATATGTGTCCATTTACATCCGATTACCCTTGACTGTCTAGGTCCAGAAAAGGAAACAAAGTCCAGAAAGAGTCCCGTTTTGTTGGACCCATTTGTGACTGATTGGAGGTAATGGAATGTAAACGGACACATGTCCATATTAGGGTGGAGGTAATGGAATGTAAACGGACACATGTCCATATTAGGGATGCACCGATATATCGGCCAACAAAACATGTCGGCAGAAAATGGCACTTTTGGCAAAATGCCAAAAGTGCAATTTTTCTGTCGATCTAGCGGTCCATCTCTGCTGTCTCTCCTCCCCGCTGGGCACTTCTGTGAAACTCGCACAGGCGGCTGTGAGCGGCCGACGTCTCTTCTCCCCCGCACTGCTCAGCCTCCTTGCTCAGCCTCCTGTCACAGATCAGGTGAGGGGCTGTGGGGCGGAGACGGCCAGCACTGTCACAGGAGGCCGGCGGTGTGGGGGAGGAGTCAGCTGTCAGATCGATCTGTATTATCGCTGGCTCAGCCTCCTGTGACAGCGTGTCAGAAGGGAGAGTGAGTACAAACACTCGGTGATCTCTGAGTGTTTGTAAATAATTGAGGGCATAGCATGTTTACTATATGCTCCAATTAAGAATGAATGGGAAGTGATCTACATCACCTCCTGTTCATTCATGATTGTGGATATAGTAAACAAATTATGTTCTCATGTTGTGAGTGAATAGGAACACGCAGTATAGAGGATTCCTGTTCATTTATAACAGGGGGTGCAGAAAAAGAGATTGGGGACTCTGTGTCCTCAATCTTTCCATTTTAAAAGGGAAATATCAGGAGTGTTTAGACCCCTAATATTTCCATGAAGCCCCC